ATATATACATAAACGTAATTCATTTGATGTGCTTCCGCCTATCACTTCACTATCAGAGTATCAGTATTTTCAAAATTTGGTTTCCACGCCATGGACGCAACAGTATTTTCCAGACAATAATTTTTACTCTTTTCTAGACAACTTCTTCTTTCTTTCTCCCACAAAATAATTATATATATATATATATTAGATGTATAGTATTTTGATGTGATAATACATGACTTACAGTCTCAATTTTATCTCTTAAAAACCCAACCCCCTTTCGCTGGGCCGGCCCATAGTGGGCTTAGACGGGCCCATCTGGGCCGGCCCATTGTGGGCTTAGATGGGCCCATTGGGCCGGGCCATTATGGACCTAAATGGACCGGGCTGGGCCCGCCCATCATGGGCCTAAACGGGCCGGGCCAGCCCGGCCTGGCCCATAATTTTTCACGGGCCGTGCCGGGCCGGCCCATAGGCCAATATAAGTTGGCCCAGCCCAGCCCACCAATATTTATGGGCTGGGCCGTGCCTTGAACAGTGTCGTACTGTGCCGGGCCGGCCCGTCATTATATCAGGATGGGCCCGGGCCGGCCCACGGGCCCCGGCCCATTGTTGCATCTCTAACTAAAAACTCCAACTTTAGGAGATAGAAAACTTATTTTGCAAAACTGTTGTAATGAGTAACAATATGATATATGAGCAGCATAATATTCAAATTTGAAGCCATTTGGACATAGGATGAATCCGGAATACTAATTTTACTTTTAATGGTCAAATCGAAAGTATGAGTGTATAAATGTGAACTTAGAAAGATTAAAATGGTAACCAACTGTAACAACCCGCCCCCCACCTAGTATGATATTCTCCGCTTTGGGCCTGAGCTCACACAATTTTGCTTCTAGGCCTCACCCCAAAGGGCCTCATACCATTGGGAGGTGGTGTTATTCCTTATAAACCAGGACCTATCTTCATCCTCAGGCGATGTGAGACTGCACAACTTACCATTTCTTGGCCTTGTACCTCAATGGATTGATGGCTGTCAGAATCACCCCTCCTTATGGGGGTCCAACGTCCTTGTTGGCCACATTTTCAGCTGGGTAGAGTCTCTGATACCATATGTAATGAACCACACTCTCACCTGGTATGATATTGTCCACTTTGGGCCTGAGCCCGCACGGTTTTACTTTTTTGTCTCACCCCAGAAGACCTCATACTATTGAAAGGTGGTGTCATTCCTTATAAACCAGGACTTATCTACATCCCCAGATGATGTGAGACTGCACAACTTACCCTTTCTTAGCCTTGTGCCTCAAGGGATTGATGGCTGTCACACCAGCCACTATCTTGACCTTTTGAATACCTTAGGCTTTGTATGAAGAGCTAGACATAGAAAAATATATAAGTGAGGAGAAAAACTCTAGGAGCAAGGTTAGGAGTCAAGAGAGGGGTAAAATTGTCTTTTTGACATTGATTGGGGGTAAAATAGTCTTTTAGACTTAGAGATGAATTTTTCAAACCGAGGACCAGATTATGGACTTAATTTTAGGTTTAGACGGGAGCTCAAAAGTTTGGGCTGCATTGGATCTGAATTGGGCCTAAGACGGCCCCGGTTACCTATGGTCATCCACTAGGTTACCAACGAAAGACCAAGCCCAATTTAGAATTTATTAAACCTAAATCCCTTATAAGCCCTGCAAGCCCAACAAGCATAAGCCCACTTCCTTCAAAGACCTATAAGGTTAGAAGTCAATATGTTTAGGTTGACTAATTAAAGATACCAATCCATCATTAACCGATGACTAACTTAAATAATCATCTAGTGATACACTTATATGGATTTGTTAATTAGTGATTGTCACGTGATTAATAAACTCTTAGTAACTCAATTAAGTAATTAACTAATTAATTAATTAATCATAATTCTTAAATTAATTAAGAGTTAATTAATGGTCTAATTAATAAATAATTAGAGTTTAACTATAAAATAAGGTTATATTAATTAATTAATAATTAGTGTTAAGTTAATTATTAATTAAGGAAGGAATAATTATTAATTAGATAAAAATTATTTATCGACTTAATTTGTTTAATCAATTAAGTTAATAATTAACTAATAATTAATTAATTATTAATTATTGAAAGGGAACTAAATAAATAAATAATTAATCATTACTTAAGAATAAATAAATCAAAAATATATTAATAATTAATTTAAAATTAATTATTAATTAATGATTAAATGCACTGTTAATCATTTAATCTAAGGAGATTATTCGATAACGATCAACATTAATTAAGACAATTAGAGTAGAACTTAATTAGTGTAAATTCTCATAAGATACTATACAAACTTAGGCCTTGTAACGAGGAATCGACCAAGGGACCCTTGCTGACTAATAAGTGTTGTCACGAGGAAGTGTTCCAAAAGAAGATAAGTAAGCGAGAATTGCTAAGTGAGGTCGTGCTTGATCAGGTAAGTACAAACCTTACCTACAACATGGAACCTGTTTTAAAGAATTGATGTCACATGATTGTGAATTGTTTGATGTTGTTGAATGATTGTTGATTAATGTGCTATCGCAATTTTCGGTATATTATTTAAGATGTCATGATAATAATTTATTGATGTATTATTGCCTCTATAAGCTAAATTTTAAGTTTTAAATATGAGCCATGATCATAATTGCATGCTCACCTAATAAGAGGTTGTGGTAAAGAAAAGAATTTAAGTGTCGTACCAACCCTCGCTAGGTTGGGAAATGATGACCTTGGGTATTGTCGATATAATATATTTAGGTCGCTCCCCCGACACCCTATTAGTCGCGCGCACCCAGTAGTACACATGGCCCATAAAATGTAAAGTCAATAAACGAATTACTCATAATCGGTCATGCATAGCATTGTCATGTAATCATTTTGTGAGATTGAGTTCATACTTGCTGACCGAAAGCCACCCTTGTTTGCTTGTGTTGTAGGTAATCCGGGCAAGAAGCCCACCACTTAAACCCTCATGATGGGCTGGCAGGGTGAAGCATGAGCGATGGGGTCAACAAGGGGATTATGGATACCACTAGTAATTAATTTTGCATTTAAGTTCCATTCTATTTTAAACTTTACAAAACTGCTATTCTAGTATGTTAGGCTTCCATGATTTAAATACTTGCATCTATAGGACAACTCTTCCTATGCTAAACACTTAGTCATGTGGTTATGATTTTTCATTTTCCAATGCACATTTTACTAGTAGGACATAGTATGCTTTCGTCATCCGTTAGGGTGACAACCAATCTATGTTATTACCGTCATTAACCATTTCGTGATCGTCTTCGTTAATGCTTGGTTTATCTTTTAAATTAATTAAACACTTATGATTTTGAATCTTAAGTATACACCATAACGTTACGTTTTCCTGCAAGAAGTGTGCGATTAAGTCTTTTGTTAAAAAATTTTAATCTAGTTTTCAATAAAATTATTTTGAAGCATTTCATATGTGTATCTATTATTATTATTTAACTCCTATGGCTCGACAGAAATATATTTCATTTCAAAAAAATATATCTTCAAAATTTTACAAACCCGTGAAGTTTGATATGAGTAATTTGGAGTTTTCAAATGTTTAACTAAGTTAATTAACAGTCCGAGAAGTTGGGTCTTACAATCTTGAACAAAATTAGGTGGAACAGCAACGAGGGGCAAATCGGAGGAGATTTGGAGGCGGAGGCGCCATATAAGTTTCGAGAGTGAGAAAGGGTTTTAGGTCTTGGAAAGTTGGACCGGAATAGGAGGGATCTACGTCGGAATGTCTGGTCGGCGGCGGAATGATGCTGGAAGAGGGCCGGGGTCCGAGAGGGGGAGCGTTAGAGGTTAGGTGGTCGGTCGGAGGGGAGTTTAGGCGAAGGAGTTTTGTATGGGAAGTTGATTTGGACTTAGAGGAAATAATTTGGGCTGGGCCTCAAAATTTCAGCAGGATAGGAGCAAAGACGAGCAAGATTTGTGTTGGATTTTTAAATTTCGGCCCAATTAGGGCGGGGTCTGGGTGTTGTGGTGCCAATTTTGAAGTCAGTAAGTTCGGGTTTGCAACAATCAGTGCGTTTGGGGTGAAGTTGGTTGAATGTGGCGCGATTGTGGTTGAAATCGAGGCTTTTGCAGAGGATAACCCTATAATTTGTGTGATTGTTGCACCAAAATCCAAAATTTTTGGGTTTGGCGATCCAGGATTCATCGCTTCTCACCCTATCCTTGTAGAATAAGTGCTTGTCCTTCCAGTGGCTCCAAATACACCACGGTTCATCATCATCGACTTTGACTCTTCAAGATTCACTATTCCATTCAACGATCCAAGGACCGAGCTCAGCACAACTAGAAGAGAGTGGAGTTGCACGGCTGTGATTACTTAACACCTTTAGGATAATGTATTTTTTTTAGGGCAAGGGTGATGTTAGGATCCGTTAGTTGGGGAAGGGCATTAGTAGATTTTAGTAGTGGTTAGATGAGAGTTAGTAGTATAAAAGGGAGGGATTAGTTACTAGAAGAAAATTGCTATGAAATTAATTTTTGTGCAAAAAGAAATTTTTGGTGTTTTTGGACATTTTATGAACAATGTAAAAATATCCTGAATATTTACAATATTCACAAAAATTACGGATACTTTTAAATATTATGGATATTTTATAAACGCATAAAGAAAAATATAATCCCTCATTATTCATGTTGAGATTTTAAAAAATAGATGATCTCGTTCATTTCACCGATTCGAGTTTTCAGTTTTAAGTTTTTATAATAAAAAGTTCTCAGAAAATATTATATCTAACTTTTTTTACTATAGTGAAAAATTTTCAAAAAATATCACATCTCAATTTAAATTGAAAACTCGAATCCGCAAAATGAACGAGCCCATAATGTCGTGTAAATATCGACAATGTCCGTGGACATTTTTTTCAAACCACGTGAGCCTTTTTCTTTTTCTTTTTCTTTATTTTTTATTTTTAATCTTTTTGGAATCGTAGCGGGGACATATATTAGATAGCAACCGGACCGGCCAAATTACCGATGAGAAACAAAAGGGAAAAGTAGGAAAAAGATGTCTACGGTTAACCTCCGAAACTGCACAGAAGAGCTGTTGAAGTACACTATCCAATCTCGTATCAGCGAAACCTTAGAATTCGACATTGGCCTCTCCGAGGACTTCTGTTCTCGCCTCCTCAATTCCGACCCTTGCGACGATCCCTTCCCCGCCTCCCACTCTACCGGTAATTCTACTCCTTTTCCGTTTGGTTCCCGAGAAAAGTTAAATCTTTTAACTGTACGAATTTCCGTTCGCTGATAAAACTTAAGGTTGTTCCATTTCATGTTTCATTACTTGGATATCGAAGAGGTTCAATTTGATTGTGGAGATGCGTTGAATTTTTTGTTTCAATTATTTTCCCGATTCTAGCCTATTTTTCTTTTAACAAATTTTGTGTTGTTTTTAAAGAGTAACTATTTTATTCTAAAGAGTAACACATTTTGCGTTGTTTTAGAGCCCGTTAGGTTGGAGGATTTATTTTCTGATTCGAACACGTTCGTTACAGTATTTTCTCTAAAAAAATACACGTAAATTGAATATAATTCTAATCTCATGATTCTAATTCATGAACCAAACGGGCTCTTAATGTCTCTGCTAATAATCTCTTTCATTAGAATCTTGAATGTGTGTTTGTATTTCCAAACACGCACTGGCCTAAAAAAAAAAAAAAAAGCTACCGCCCTGTTTATTTTACTGAGTTTTGTTAAAACTTTCAGAAAAAGTCACATCTAACTTTTTTGTTACAGTAAAAAATTCTCATAAAGTCACATCTCAATTCGAATTAAAAATTCGAATCAGCGAACTAAACGGGCTACTTATATTGATGATTACGTAATGGGTATTTTACTCTTTTTTTTTTTGGGGTCAATTTTGCAGATTCTATGGAAGGAGTACCTCCACACCCTCTATACAAGCATTTGGCATATGCTTTGCAACAGTCCATGACATCTGGAACATTTTATAGGACATATAATAGAATGCCCATGATAGGAACAGAGAATTCGTTGAAGCAGAAAGAGCATTTTTGGCAGAAACTGATTTCGGAAAAGGGATCAGAATTTGTTAATGTTAGTTTATACTGGCAGTTCTCTTTCGTACAGTGCAATGCTCTTTGTTTTTCCATCTTTTCATGTATGTTTAGAAGAGTGATCTCGCTGTGCGCTAGCAAAATTTGCTTTTTTAGCAGGTGTTGAGGACCATAGACCTCGAACTTTATGTAGAGGAGCCTTTCTTTTCACAGATGAAAGGTATAAAATACCTGTATTTTGTTATATTGCATATCTGTGCATCACTGAATATCCATTTGAAGCTTATTGTAATTCGAGTTTCTTCATAGATGGACTCAAAACAATTGAAGGCAGGTGTGCTACTGGTAAATACAGCAGGTATTTCTATCTAATCAGTCCACTTGTGCATTTATATGAAATAATATTCTGTTGGGTTTTGCTAAATTTTATGGTTTCTTTACTTTCAATCTTTTACTGTTCTAAATGTCTCTCCTGTGTTACAAGTAGCTTATAGTGCATGACATGAATGGTATTAGTCTTACGAAATTTACACATGAATTTCTATTAGTGTGTGTATTTTGGCATTTTGTTTTAATTCGTTCGCTAATACGATGAAATTGGATGCCTTGAATGTGCCATGACATCTCAACCTGAGGATGTTATTCCACCTTGTATTTGCTTAGATTAGATCAGTTTCCTAAAAATTGGTATACGAACGTGCTGCTGTTTACTCGCCTTACCAGCTTGGCTGCCTAAATGTGGCAGGTTTGACCGTATGATTAGTCCATGAAGCAGGGTTAACTCTAATGGATTCGAACAAGTAATGGTGGTTGTAAACATTCAGTTCTAATTTCAATTAAGAGGATGGAAATTGATATCTTTTTGAAGCGATTGTTGATGTTGCCTAAAATTTTACACACATTTTTTTCCTTATTGTTTTAAATCTTGTCTTCGCAGTCACTCTCTTCATCTTTATTTTTTCTGGTGCAGAATTAAATCAGGAAGTTTGATTCTCCTTAATGAATGTTTGTTATTTGAAGTTCAGGTGTGTCTGTATTCGTCTTTGGTATATGCTTCTCTATATCATCTAGACTGTGATTTGGCGATTTAAGTGTTTATGAATTTGCAGGACGTCCACTGGTATGCTTCATTTTCTAAAATGTTGGAGGCAGAAGGTCTTGCAGAAGTCCTTCCCGGAGTTAAATCCATTATAGAAGGTGATCATCTTTTTTTGTTGACTTACAATGATTATTGTTGACTGTAGAAGTTTGTCAACAAAAATATATCAAATTTCAAAGCGGTTTACGCGATTTTGATGATAAAAAACACGATTAAAAGAGATTAAGCAGTAAGAACACACAAAGATTTATAGTGGTTCACCCTTAATTCAAGAGCTACGTCCACTGTTGGGAGGAGGAAAATTCACTATCTTTTGGAAAAGATTACTGACTGACTCTTCCAGAATTAGACCTCTCCTTATTATATATATACTGCAGTCTCTGCAAATTTCCTTATTTTATTCGGGGATTTTTCCCCATATTTTGGGATAATGTCCCTGGTATGTTGAGATCTCTGTCAATTAGTACGTTTTCCATACTTACTTCCTTACTTACTCCGTATATTTTAATTACCAATAACAAATCTCAGGGTAGATCTCGTATCTCTCGGCTTGCGTAGACTCGGCCTCGTAAGCGCTTCCAGTACCATCTTTGCCTTCAGCTGTTGGTGCGGTCAACCTTCTGTTGTTCTCAACTCCTTGAAGCGGTTGACTGCCTTTGTACGTCACTCTCTTTACTTGCGGTCTACTCTTAAGAGAACCACCATCCGACGTGGCAGCTAGGGCAGAGTTGTCTCCGATCATTTACTGGCCTTAACTATGACACGTGGGTCCCATCCAATGCCCAGCTTAGGGTTTGAAATTTTACCCAACAACAATTATGAATGCCAATGAGTTCACTACCAGGGGAGAGTATGTCAGTAACCCTCCAGAACTGAAGGAGAAAGATAACTGAAACGCCAAATATTCGTATTTGCTAAGCTTATTTTTAAATGGTAATTGGTTTATTATCAATGATGAAATGTTTAGCTTGCATCCGAAGCTTATATTTTCACTTTCTCAAATTGGCACGTTTACCTCAACCTTGTTTTCTTCCAAAAACAACCCTGTTTTCTGCTCTTCAAAAATCTTTATTTTATTTTACTTTAATTTATTTTTATTTTTTTAAATATCCTAAGCAATCCTTTCTTTCAATTAGGCTTTAGTCATTTGTTTTTTGACTTAGAGATTCTTTTGTGGATTTGCATAATTACTGTGTGCCAAATGAACTTGCAATACAGGTGTGGAAATCTATAGGAAGTTTTACACAAAAGAGAAGGAAATGTCAAATGGTGTCCTTGCAATTTCTATTTCAAAAGTGGATCCTCAGCCTTACACTTATTTGGCTGCTATACTCTCTGTGAGTGTCCTTGTAGCTACAGTCTTATGATTATAAATAGACAAAATGACTTCAATGAATAATAACTTGCTTTTATCATATTTTTAGTTTGGTTGGCGTCTCCAATGGGTTACAATGCTTCAAAATTGATGTATTTTCTACTGCGGTTGAAGGGATTATATTATTTTACTTAGGAATGATGCTAAAGTGTCCAATGAATAAGATGAACATTTATGATCTTTCCATAATGATACTAAACTACTAATTAGGATTTACAATAGATATATGCGTGTAATAACTAAATTCAGTAATTAGTGCATTACTAATTTATGTATGAAATGAAGGAATAAACAGCTTAAGTGGACTTAAATCTGTAGGAATTAGATTGTGCTTATGAAGAGGCCTCACCCTTTGTCTCTGTTTTCTTTTTATTCTGTGTATAGAATTCTTATCGCAAAAGAATCCATTCATTTCTTATCCAAAATATAAAAACAAGTAAATAAATAAATAAAAGAAGAGGCAGCTTTATCTTTAGCGTTGCCATCTAAAATTCTATCATACTAACGGGTTTTCTTCTTCCATCAGGGATTGAATTATGGAGGTGTTCAAGGTCTTCTGGGTCTTACAAATACAAATGGGACTATTGAACATGCACTACCCCCACCAAGATCTGCTCTCGTATCATCATTTATGATGCCATATAAAATAGATGTAAGATAACGACTGATATCAAGCATAAAGAAAATTTTCAGATATGTTAAATGCTTTTCACTGCTTTTGAGGTATTTTGGAACTGGTCGATGCAAAATTTTTAACATTTAAGAAAATTGACACGCATACACAAACACACAGAGGAAACTAGGAAAAGACACCTTTTCTTTGGCGCAACAAAATCTCAGTAAGTGATAACATCTGTTAAGTTTGTACCGCAGTATCCTTTTAATGGATGACAAGCAATAGCTTGGCTAGGCAGCTCAATTTTATGTTTCTGATTATGAACGGTATCTTTTTAGGCGGAGGTAAAAGGTATCACATTGACACATGGAGCTCAGGCCTTGGCCAAACATGCCCATAGGTGTACCAATAAATATTGGGGTACTTTGAATGGAAATGGTGAGTTCTGTGTTCAAAATTTTGCTTTTAATATTTGGACATTTTGTTTTTCACTTTGTTTATTTATTCTTCTCCTAGTAAGTATGTTTTTTTAATTTTTTGAGAACTTTGTGGACGTCTTGTACACATTGGCAATGAAAAATCATTTCTTTTAAAATTTGTTTCTTTCACCTGGTTTGTACTTGTAAATGTTTCTGGATCTACTTGTTTTTGTATTTACATTATATTATCTGAATCTGTGTGTTCCTATTGCCGCGTTATGGTATTGGAAATTTTTTCTAATTGTATCATATCATCATTCATCTTTATGACTTTTGCTTCTTGTTCTCCTGATCAATTTGAAGTCCTTTAGAAGGTTTTTATTGTTATGACAAAAAGTCATCAAGATAATCGATACCTGTAATGATCTGCTGCTGTGGCTTTGTTTAAGATCGATGTTGTGATGGGGAATTTCATTAATGGTCTTACAAGATCTTTAGAAACTGGAAATACTATGACTAAAACATGACCCAGGAAAATGGATACTCGACTACGTATTACATCATTCTGCTATGTTTGGCATTTGCTAAAATGATAGGGGAAAAAGAAAATTGAAAATCAAGAAGCACCATGTAGAAAGAATTATGTACAGGTCTAACATATTTCCTGCGTTGACTTTTTTTGTCTGTTCGTTTTCACCCATTTAAAACAATTATTTAAATTTTCAAGTGTAGAAATCACTAGGTACTTTTGGCTGATTACCAGGACTTTTAAATGTTGCCGTAAGCCTTGTATGTTCGTTGTCATGCTCTACAAATGCAAAAATCAACAAACGCCAATATATATCTCTCTGTGTGTGCGTGTGAAGGTTTCTTAATGAAAAACTTAGTGAAGTTCGATTTGTTTCTTTTGCAATTTTTTTTTATCGCATTTATATTTTTTGAGTAATTTTTTCACTTGTGTTTCTCTTTGCACTTTCCAGATTCTGATAAAAACAGGCGTGCGTTAGATGTCATCACTCAGCTAATAACACAATGTTGCTGGTTAAATCTGCATATTGTTCCACCGCATGGTGACGTCTTTGAAATAAGGGTTGCTGATGGATATGGTGCTAGGTGGTCTATAGATGGCAGTAAGGTATGATTAGAGTTCAATTCCTTGTTCAGTCGGTAGGAATAAAACGATGACGTGGGAAAAACTGTAGTATTCGTATGTTTGTGCTATGCTATGCTATGCAATGCTATTCTACATATGTATATATAATTACCATGGAATCTTGTTCTGTCCTTTTCCAGACATCTGCCAAAAATATGGAGATGCATGATAAAATGTAAAATATGAAAATCTCTAATGTCATGTGCGACAGTTTTACTAGTTTATTTGTACTCTCCCAAAAAGTGTGTCAAATGTAGGTTATAGTAATGTAGGTTATAGTATACAAATTTATGTTTTGGAATTTTCGCATCCAAATATATATTACCTTGGAAAATGCAATCATGTGTAGTATAGGCTGTATAACTAATGTTCCATTTATTATCCTTCCAGTTTGTGGGCTTTCTAGAGCCATATGTAGAAGACGGCCATTCAACAGGATGGAAGCACTGATCTTCTCTCAGAAGGCTGTTTCTAATTTTCTGAATTCAGATAATAGGTATGCCTTTTTTAAGGCATTTTTTTTTTCTCTCTGCGATGGAACTATTATTTCTAAAGCAACATTACATGTGTTTTCATGACATATATCAAACAACCATATAAATCGAGCTTCATAGTAGGAATAGGATGTCATGATCGATGTATACTTGAAAAAAGTGGAAACAATTCTTCACATGAATGGATAGGCCATGAGATTTTTTTATAGAATAGTCATGCCAAAATGCCATATATGTGAAGCTTTTTTTTTTTTTTTTTTTTTTTTGTCCTGCACTGCTTGGATGCTATTTTCATGGCATATCAGTCATTCTTAATTAGTTTGTCATATGTCCATATATCGTACTATTTTTCCCGGCTTTCCTCTTTTTTCTTTTCCCTTGATGGTCATATTGTCTTCTGTTGCATTGTCCAGAACATACCCTCAAGTGGTCTGAATGCGATTTGTGATTCACTTGACACCAGTAAAAAATGCATGTATATGTATGAATGTATGCGTGTGCCTGTGTCTGTGTGTCTCACTACTTTTGTGCTTTTCTTTCTTTCTTTTTCTTTTTTTTTAATCACGAGTAAATTAACATTCGGGTTTTTTTTTTCTTTTTTTTCTTTTTTTTTTTAATCACGAGTAAATTAACATTCGGGTTTTTTTTTCTTTTTTTTCTTTTTTTATTAATCACGAGTAAATTAACATTCGGATGTTATTGCTTCTGAGGAGGTCGTTAAGCTTGTGAATTAATTCTATTCTTTGTTCAAATGCAAAATTTTCGGAATGCAAGCTAACCTGCTAAAACTAGATGGCCAGAATTTATAGCTTGTTTGGGACATATATTCAAACCCAAATTTGGGTTCTGCCATAGTGTTTTTTATCTCACAAAGCATTTGTGTAGGTATTTGAGAGAATAGTTTGCTCTGATTTCTCTATATTCTAGAATGAAAGAAATACAAAGAATATATACAGAGGGAGTTTCCTTAAAGCAAAGATCCTAGACTGCAGTAAAGGAGGAAACAATCTCTACTAAACTAGGAAAGAATAAAAGGGAATCTGGTAATATATTACCAGATTCTTCTCCTAAAATTATTTCAAAAATAAACAATTCCTAAAATTGCTAACTAATTGAGTGCAGGAATTTAACACTCCCCTGCAAGCTGAGTTGTATATGTTGAACAAATACAGCTTGTGACTCAGTTCTTCAAAATTTGTTCTTGGTAGAGCCTTAGCAAGTATGTTTGCCACTTGAGATTGTGTAGGGGTGTAAACCAGCTGCACAATAGAATGCTCAATCTTCTTTGAGATGAAATGTCAGTCAATCTCAATATGCTTTGTCTTGTCATGATGTACAGGATTCTTAGCAATCCTTATAGCTGCTTGATAATCACAGAATAACTTGATAGGTTTCTCAACTATTACTCTCAACTCACTGAGTAATCTACGTATCCACATTCCTTCACAAATACCTAGGGCCAATGCTCTAAACTTAGCTTCTGTACTACTCCTTGAGACTACAGGTTGTTTCTTGCTTCTCTAGGTCACGAGATTTCCCCAAACATAGGAACAGTAACCAATTATTGATCTTCTGTCTCTAGCATCTCCTGCCCAATCTGTATCTGAGAAGACTTGAACATCCCTATGTTCAGTTTTCTTGTATAATAAACCTTTTTCTAGAGTCATCTTGAGATACCTTAAAATTCTATACACAGCTTCCATATGTTGTTTTGTGGGGTTATGCATGAACTGACTTACCACACTAACTGGAAAGCCAATATCAGGTCTTGTGTGAGAGGTAGATGAGTTGCCCTACGAGCCTCTGGTATCTCCCCCTGTTGACTGGTACATTATATTTTCTTGTCCCTATCTTCTTAGTGGAGTCCATTTGTGTATCTGCAGGTTTACAGCCAAGTATACATGTCTCCTTTAGTAAGTTCAGGACATATTTGGGTTGAGAAACAAATATCCCTTTCTTGGATCGAGCGATTTCCATTCCAAAATTTTTTTTGAGGTTCCCAAGGTCTTTAATTTCAAATTCCTTGGCTAGAAATACTTTTAATCTTAATAGTTCCTCCTCATAATCACCTGTTAGGATGATGTTGTCAACGTACACAATTAGTACTGCTATTTTCTTCCCTAGAGAGAACTTCACGAACAGTGCGTGATCTATTTGGCATTGGGTGCATCCATATCTAATCACTGACCTTGCAAACTTGTCAAACCACGCACGAGGAGATTGCTTGAGCCTGTATAGAGATTTCTTGAGTTTGCATACCTTGTTGTTATTGAAGGTAGTTTCTAGTACTTGAGGTATTTCCATATACACTTCTTTTTCTAGATCACCATTCAGGAATGCATTCTTAACATCTAGTTGATGTATAGGCCAATCTTGATTTGCTACAAAAGAAAGGAGGACTCTGATAGTATTTAGCTTTGCCACTGGAGCAAATGTCTCCTGATAGTCTATTTCATAAGACTGAGTAAACCCCGTAGCAACCAGCCAAGCCTTTAGTCTCTCAATACTTCCATCAGCCTTATGTTTGATGGTGAATATCCACTTACAGCCAACCGTTTTCTTCCATCAACCGTTTTTTTTTTCTAATGCTCTAATTTTTCCACTAACTGCCTTTCTCCATTATGGGTTCTTAAGAGCTTCCTAAATAGAATTAGGAACCTGCACACTATCAAGAGTAGATACGTAAGGCCTGATAGGATGGTGACAATCCTTGATATGAGACAAATCGGCAGATAGGATGATTTGTACAAGTTTTGATAGCCTTTCTCAGAGCAATTGGAATATTTAAATCATCCATAATCGGTGTTGAAGTCGCAAGATCAAAGCTTTCCTTACCTGAGTGAATTTGAGTAGGTGTTAGATCCGGATTAGCTTCTTGGTCAAGTATGAGAGGTGTTGTGTGCTCTATCTCCTTTCCAAATTTCTTCCCCCTGCAGTAAACAATTAGCTCCTTATTTGCACTTTGTTGAGGACGCTTTCGGACAGGAGAAGGGAATGGACGTGTAGGAGAAGGACTTGCAAGAAGATGACTCTCAGATTGTGTAGGGTTATGGAGATGAAGTTGAAATAGGTGATCATGAATTAGGCTGAAGTAATGAAGTGTCCCCAGACTGTATGTCAAGATCCCAAAGCTGATATTCCCTCACGGTCTCCCCCTGAATTGCAGGTTTGGAAAAAAAGGATTGGTGTTCAAAAAGTGTCTCATCCGTTGAGTTGTAGACTCTTTTTGTTGTGGGGGAGTGACACTTATAACCCTTTTGGTGTGAGGAGTACTCAAGAAAGATACATTTGATGGATTTTGAGTGTAACTTGCCACGATGTTGAGAGTGTATGTGGACAAAGGCAGAACACCCGAATACTTTAGGATCGAAAGAGGAGATGAATTTGGTGTGTGGGAAGTTTTGGAGAACAATTTGACATGGAGTTTGGAACTTGAGAACCAGGAGGGCAACTGATGAGGTATGTGGCTGTGAGTATTGCTTCTCCCTAGAAATGTTTTGGAACATGAGTGGAGAACATGAGAGATTGAGCTACCTCTAATAAGTGTCTGTTTTTCCTCTCTGCAACCCCATTTTGTTGGGGTGTGTCAACACAAGAGCTTAAGTGGATATTTCCTTGACTCGTAGGATAGATTTGAAGTTTTCTTTGGCATTGTCAGTTTTTAAGACTTGTTGAAATTTTGGAAAATTTGTCCAACTTCAGATTTTTCTTTCATGAGGAACACCCATCTCAATCTTGGATGATTATCAACAAAAGGTACAAACCATCTGTTCCCGTTATATTTTTTACTCTTGAGGGACCCCATACATTAATGTGAATCAAAGTAAAGGGACAAGATGGTTTATATGAGGAACTAGGATAGCTATTACAAGTGTGTTTGGAAAGCTGGCAAACTTCACAATTAAACAATTTTGGATCTTTATTGATAAATAATGATGGAAATAGTTTTTGAAATTAGGATGAAATAAATCATTGAGATGTTGCCATATACAATACTAACTAGTATGATCTTTAACTACTGGATTAAGAAAATGAACAAGGCATTGGATTGTTTGCTTGGCAAATGATTTATTATTCACATACGGTGAATAATTATTTTCTCATCGGATGTATAATGAATCTTTAAGATAGCGTAATCAAAAAGTTGAACGGACTTTGGCCTAGGTTGATCATGGATATCATATGAGGGTGTTGCATATATGACAAGGTAATTGAACAATAGTTAATTACTCGCTTACGTAATACGGTATATAATTAGGTGTGCAATTTCAGATTTATAGTCGAATGACTCTGAAACTAATAATTGTGTAATTGTATTATTTTGTATAGAATAATGATTACATAAATTATTGGAGCCCATATTATATGCGTCCAATCGGTCCCTTTACTAACTCCGCATAATTCCTTAATGGGTGATAATTGATCGGGGTATTCTTTATGGCTTTAATTCTTGGTCTTAGTAAAGAGAAAAATCCAAGTCACCTCACAAGGGTGTAGGCATTTTTCTAAACTAAGGGTAGAACAATAATTTTGTTTGATTTAATTAATGAGATAAATATTTAATTTGAATAAATATTTATTTGGAAGATAAGATTTGAAATTTAAATTGATTATGTTTATCTTTTAAGATAAATATGAAATCAAATTAAATTTTAGAAGATATGGATAATATCTAGAAATCAAATTAAATTAAGAGAATAGTTTGTTCTGATTTCTCTATATTCTAGAATGAAAGAAATACAATGAATATATACAGAGGGATTTTCCTCAAGCAAAGATCCTAGACTGCAGTAAAGGAGGAAATAATCTCCACTAAACTAGGAAAGAACAAAAGGGAATCATGTAATATTACCAGATTCTTCTCCTAAAACTATTCCAAAAATAAACAATTCCTAAAATTCCTAATTAATTGAATGCAGGAATTTAACAATTCAAATTCTAAAATTTCATCTCTTATAAAATTCCTGCCAATAAACTTAATTTTGACGGGAATATATGTTCTGAATAGGCCCTTAATATTTTGTTTGAGAATCTAACTTTAATTTTCGAAGAATTATTTTTTAGCAGATGATAATGGTGTCTCGTGATGGATTTTTATTCGTTAACTTAGGAGTCAATATATTTCCTCATATATATATATATACATATTTGGATTATTATTACTACAATTAGAAAGCATGGTGAAG